CTCTGGTGCTCCTCATGTTCCTCTTGAGAAGACTCCATAGATTCTCAGTGGGGTTTAGGTCCGGCCAGTTGGCTGGCCAGTCAGGCTGTGGCATCAAACCAGGTTCTGGTGCTTCTGGCAGCATGGGCAGGGACCAGGTCCTGCTGGAAGATGAACTCTGCATCTCCATACAGATCCTCAGCAGAAGGAATCATGAAGTCCTCTAAAACATTCTGGTAGACTGTTGCTGTGACCTTGGATTGAAGAAAGCAGAGTTTACCAACACTGCACCCAGATCATGACTGACTGTGGATATTTCACACTGGACCTCAACCAGTATGGGCTCTGTTCCTCACCCTTCTTCATCCAAACCCTTGGACCTTGATTTCTGAATGAAAGACACTTTACTTTCATCAGAAAAGAGGAACCCGACAGTTGTAGTCCATCTCCTGGACGAGTCTGAATGTGGTGGTTCTTGAAGCTGTGACTCCGCCTCATTCCAATCTTTCTGGATCTCTGACAGATTCTGGATCTCTGACAGATTCTGGATCTTCTGGTTGATGATCCACTGAAGCCCACAGTCATCTCTTTGCTGGTGCATCTTCTCCTGCCACATGTCCTTCCACTAGACTTTCCATTGATGTGCTTGGACACAGCACTCTATGAACAGCCAGCCTCCTTTGTTATGAACTGTTGTGTCTTACCCATCCTATGGAGGGTCTCAATGATGTTCTTCTGGACAGATGTTCTGTCTGCAGTCTTCACCATATTGAACCAAACTGAGACAATTTAATGACACCTGGGGAAACCTGTGCAGGTGCTTTGAGTTTAGTAGATGATTAGTGTCACACTCAGTTTAAAACATTCATGTCCTGCAACATTTGGACTGATGTCTCCACAGTATTATAATTTTTTTGGAAAAGGTCTTTATATGTATGTAAACCATCCATCTTAATCATCTAAGGACACTATACCATCCATCTGTTCATCCATCCATCCATTTTCTTTAACCGCTTCTTTATTTTTGGGTCACTGGTGCCCATATCCAGGAGTCACTGAGCAAGAGGCAGGGGACACCTGGACAGGTCTCAGTCCATCACAGGGACACCTAGGGACAATTTAGAGTTACCATCAGTCTAACATGCATGTTTTTGGTCTGTGGGAGGAAACTGGAGCACCTGGAGAAAACCCACACAGCACGGAGAGAACATGCAAACTGCACCATGAAATGCCCCCGGACCGGGATTTGGACTAGCAACATTCTTGCTGAGAGGCAACAGCTCTACCTACTGAGCCACCGTGCCATTGCAATAAGCTACACTTTTGCTACTTTTGTCTTATTCTGTCTGTTGTGTCTGTTTGAGTTTTTTAGTTTTTGTATAAATGTAACTTTTGTTTATTTGAGTTTATTTTTTCACCCAACCTTTATTTCTACAGGTTAGTGTCAATGAGCCTCGAGGACTCGTTTACAGGAGAGACCTGATTTAAACCAAGAACACGGATCAGGAACAGACAAAAATAGACAATCATATACAAATATTTAAAATGAAAAGTAAATAGAAGAAATAATATAAAATGAAACAAAAACAGCTAGGTTATAAAGTGGTATCAAATACTAAAACATTTGTGTTGATTTTTGCCAAATATGTAAAGCATTAACTTTAGCTACTTTTAGCTTTTGCTTTGATTGTTATACGTTTAAGTGCAGTACTTCTTGCTACTTCAACAAATTTCAGTACTTAATTTTTTGGCCAAAAATGCACTTTTCTTTCTTCGTTGTGTTCTTTTTGGTGTCCTGATGACAGAACGGTACCAGGCTTTGCCCAGCTCGTCGGCACAACTCAAGTTTTTGGAGCTGCAGAGGGAACTGGTTGATGACTTCCGTATCCGACTTACACAGGTAACTGTGATACTTTGATTAGAAATGTATTTTGGGATCTCCAGTGTCACCCTTGGTGGCCAGAATTAAAGGATACCTGAACTTATCTGGCAACAATTCTGGTTTCTCACTCTATCATACAGGTGCTGGTCATAAAATGAGAACATCATGAAAAAGTTGATTTATTTCAGTAATTCCATTCAAAAAGTGAAACTTGTAGATTATATATTTTTATTTTTTTGTATTGGAGTTAGAAAAATTAGAAAGTTATTCATTTTGTTCTGTTACTTGAAAATTATTATGATTGAACTAATTGTTTGACCAAAGGGGCAGATATAATAAGATTTGTTCTTCTTTCTGCTGCCTTTCATTTTAAATCTCTTGTATCTTTTTATATTGTTATGGAATTGTTTTGTACTTTTTTAAAATGAATAAACTATATACCATATTCATTCATTACACAGACTGATGTATTTCAAATGTTTATTTCTTTAATGTTGATGATTATAACTGACAACTAATGAAAACCTCAAATTCAGTATCTCAGAAAATTAGAAAATTACTTAAGACCAATTTAAAACTAATTTTTTTAGAAATGTTGGCCAATTGAAAAGTACGAACATAAAGTACGAACATGTTCAGCATCAATACTTAGTTGTTGCTCCTGTTGTCTGGATCTCTGCATCAGTGCATCGTGTCATGGAGTGGATCAGTCCGTGTCTCTGCTCAGGTTCTGAGAGTCCAGGTTGTTCTGATCGTGGCCTTCAGCTCTTCTGAATCGTTGGCTCTGGTGCATCACATCTTCCTCTTCACAATAACTCCATAGATGTTCTATGGTCAGGAGAGTTTGCTGGCCAGTTAAGAACTGGGATACCACGGTCCTTAAACCAGGTACTGGTATCTTTGGCACTGTGTGCAGGGGCCAAGTCCTGTTGGAAAATGAAATCTGCATCTCCATAAAGTTGGTCAGCAGCAGGAAGCAGGAAGTCTCTAAAACTTCCTGGTAGATGCTGTGTTGACCTTGGACCTCAGAAAAACCAGTGGACCAACACCAGCAGAGGACATGGCACCAAACCATCACTGACTGTGGAAACTTGACACTGGACCTAAAGCAACGTGGATTCTGTGCCTCTCCTCTTCCTCCAGACTCTGGGACCTGGATTTCCAAAGGAAATGCAAAATGTTCTTCCATCAGAGAACAGAACTTTGGACCACTCAGCAGCAGTCCCAGGTGAGACGCTTCTGACACCGTCTCTTGTTCAAGAGTGGCTCGACACAAGGAATGTGACAGCTGAAACCCTTGTCCTGCATATGTCTGTGCGTGGTGGTTCTTGAAGCACTGACTCCAGCTGCAGTCCACTCTTTGTGAATCTCCCCCACATTTTGGAATGGGTTTTTTTCACCATCCTCTCCAGGTGCAGTTATCCCTGTTGCTTTTTTCTACCACATCTTCTCCTTCCCTTCGCCTCTCTATTAATGTACTTGGACACAGAGCTCTATGAACAGCCAGCCTCTTTAGCAATGACCTTTTGTGTCTTGTCCTCCTTGTGCAGGTGTCAATGGTCGTCTTTTGGACAACTGTCCAGTCAGCGGTCTTCCCATGATTGTGTAGCTACAGAACTAGACTGAGACCATTTAAAGATCTTTGCAGGTGTTCTGAGTTAATCAGCTGATCAGAGTGTGACACCAGGTGTTTTCAATATTGAACCTGTTCACAATGTTCTAATGTTCTGAGAGACTGAATTTGGGTCAGTTATAATCATCAACATTAAAATAAATCAACATTTGAAATATATCAGTCTGTGTGTAATGAATGAATATAATATATAAGTTTCACTTTTTGAATGGAATCACTGAAATAAATCAACTTTTTCACGATATTTTAATTTTATGATCAGCAGCTGTATGAGCATCTGTATGAATGGAGACATTGCTGGATTAAATCTGTGACCCCATCCCTTCATTTGGGGCTGGACTCTCATACTGGCGATGGCAAAGGATTCCCAAATGTGTCACAAACTTCAGGAATCTTCACCAGCTGGCACCTGCTCCAGACAACAAGGATCAGACTCTCGGGTAGTCTTGCTGAATGCTTGGTCCCTAACCAATAAGACTTTTGTTGGATTGTATACCTGGATTATTGAGCATGGACTTTGTTGTTTTCAACCAGTTTGACAAGACTGTCAACAAGTAAGAGGGCCGGCAATGTAGGAGGGGGTGTACCAAAGAGACCATCTTAGCACCAACATAACTGGTTTGTTCCACTTTGGAGTAAGCTGTTTGGGGGAAAAAAATCAGTTTTCTTGTGTGTTTCCTTGACTGATGAAGCCTTCTGGATGGAAGGTGAAACTTTTTAGCACAAAAAATGAAACCGTCCAGATGACCTGACTGAAAATTGTTGAACTTCTGTGTTTTTTAGGAGCGTTTACTGCTCTGCACATGTCGGTGCTTCTGTTCAGAATAAAAGCCTGCTGCATGCAAACATAGCTAGAGTGAGGGTTTGAGTTGCAGGACCCTCCAACAGGATGAAAAACCAGCGCTCATCAGGAGGGGGAGGCAGCAACGGGCTCTGAAAGGGTTTTTTTAAAATTGCTTCAGAAAAAAATGTACAAACATTTCACCTGTCACAAGTTCTGGCACAGGGTTACAGCATCAGACTGGAATATAAACTCCCCATCTTCAAAAAGAGCCCCCACACCACTCTGCAATCCCACTCAAATAAATCAAGACCCTACCACTGTTTGAAGTTGGGGGGGTTCCCCTAAGCAAAACATTTACAGCTAAATGTATACTAAGAAAATTATGTAACCCCCCCACACTGACGCACAGAACTACCATCTTAAACAGGAAATGTACAAAGCAACAAACAAAAGTTTCCGTCCACGTTGACCCTCAGCTTCTCCCAGTGGTCTGGCCCAGTAAGATGGATAATTAGGGGATGAAGTCTGGCCAGGCTGCCCTCAGGTGTGCTCCGTGAAGCTAGCCCTCAGGAAGGTGACCTCAACAAACAAGGAATTAGTCTTCAGAATAAAAGCATTGCAAAGCAAATGTCCTGCTGGTGTCTGTGTGTGCTTGAACTCCGTGAGAGATGCTTTGCTGCACCCTGAGACAGACTGCAGGTTTCCCTGGACATCTTTGAAGACAGCTTGTCAAATTATCAGAGCGCAGTTAAAGCTCTAAGACTTGTTTTCATGGGACGTGTTTCAAACCACAGCCACACACCGCAGGCTCTTTTCAGTGTTTTTACTCTGCTGTGAGTCCTTGATGCTGAAGGTCCTGCACTGTGTGAGCAGCGTCTAAAGTTCTCTGCTCCGAGACCTCAACACGACCTCTCACACACACCGCTCCGTCTCCATCCTCAGCTGACTTGGACCAGTTCCAGCCGGTGACGATGTTTCAAAGGACACCGTCCACCATATGCAGACTTCCAATTCACCTTTGGACAGAGTGTCCTCATTAACACGTCCCACTGTGTCTCAGTTGTTGTCCTCATTAACGTGTCCCACTGTG